TTTTTGGTTTCTCTTATTGTATTTTCCATCGGCCTTGTGACTATTAGAGAGAAAACTACACTGTCGCATTATAACAATGACTGAGTAAAGAGCAAAACAGAAAACTCATCTACTTAAGAAGACAGGATTCAAAAACCTTGTGCTGAACTCTACCATTTGTGTGGGTCTAATCAAGAAATAGGAAAAGCAGCCGGGCGCGGTGGCTCAAGCCTGTAATCCCAGCACTTTGGGAGGCTGAGGCAGGTGGATCACGAGGTCGAGAGATCGAGACCATCCTGGTCAACACGGTGAAACCCCGTCTCTACTAAAAGTGCAAAAAATTAGCTGGGCATGGTGGCGCATGCCTGTAATCCCAGCTACTCAGGAGGCTGAGGCAGGAGAATTGCCTGAACCCAGGAGGCGGAGGTTGCGGTGAGCCTAGATCGCGCCATTGCACTCCAGCCTGGGTAACAAGGGCGAAACTCAGTCTCAAAAAAAAAAAAAAATAATAGGAAAAAAAAAAAAAAAAAACCACTATGATGAAGCAGCACAGACAGAAAAAATCATTATGACATACACGTTTTAAACTATGATACAGACTATCTTAAACTATGATACAAAGTGTTTTTATTTTTTTCCTGACCTTGCATAAAGATCTCAAATCATTCTGTTAATGATACATAATAAGGACATGCACACATTTTAAGCTATTACAGATGGTCTTGGTAATTAAAGATAGTCTCCATTTTTTGTGTGTGTTTTAGTCTAACCTAAAGAACGGGATCCCTTCTTTGTTACCTGCTACCATATTCATGTAGCAAAGTCAATGAATAACAAAATAAACCAACAGATTCGGACAGTAAGATGGAATTAGCAGAAGCCTTCAACGTGCTGATCTGATAAAAATGAGCCTAACAGTTTGAGAGAACAGCGTTGTGGGAATATAAAAAGCTTATCTGTGAAAAGTGATAGAAAGCAGGCAAGGCCCAATTCTACTGACTGGTAAATACATCTGAGTCAGTATTCCTTTTCTTAATGACTAGTCAACACAAAATTTAGCTTTGCAGTAGATCTTCTGCTGATCAAAACTGTTTCTAAAATACTAGCTAAATGTTGTTTTAGAGTAAAAGGGATCATTTTTACATTTAACTGATCAAAGTAAAATTGTCAATCAGTTCAATGTGTCCCAAGCGCTTTTCTTATAATTTTAATGAGTGGCAAAAATTAAAATTAAAAAAAATAAAACACAAACACTTTTCTGAAATCAGGGAGAGATACAAGGCCATCAATGAACTAAAAAACATGTCTTAGATGCCATTAAGAAAATTAAATGTACCATCAAATAATAATACTTGTAATGTTGATAGTTATTATTTCTTGAAAGCGGTACCAAGTACCATAGTGTTTTACATGTATTAGCTCATTGCACCCTCACAACAATTTTGAGGTAAGTACTGTTATTTTTTCCCCCTTTACAGACAAAAAGACTGAGGCTTAGAGTGGCTAGGAATGATTTTCAAACCCAAGACATCAAAGGCCCAAGCTCTTAGCCACTACTCTATACTGCTTCAAATAGAGCTCTTCCTCCTCATTTTTCTAATAAATATTTATTGAGTCTTTATTACGTATCATTAACAGGGTAATTTGAGATCTTTACACAAGGTCAGAAAAAAATAAAAAATAGACTGGTTCCTGTCTCCGAATGAAAAGCTGTAATATGACAACACAGGCTGGGCATAGGGGACAGGGCATGGGGCGGACAGTACGAGTGGAACTGCTCACTTTCTAAAGATGCTTTTCTTCATGGTATGGCAAATCTTCATTATTAATCAAATAAATCTCTTCTGAGGATATGGATATGTTTCAGTGGTAGTCAATTTCACTTTGGTTCTAGTGAAATTCTTTCTACATGCAATTTTCATTAGCCTATAAAATGACGGTTAGAATGGCAGCAATTTTTAAGTTAATTTTTAGCAATATGTGAACTTTTTTCTTGTCATGATACTTTCTATTCAATAAAGCAAACCCCATCTCTACTGAAAAGCCTCATTTCATTGCTTCATGATCTATTAGCATCTAAGGTCAAGCCAAGGAATGCTATAACCCCACTAGACGTCAGGCCTGTGTCATCCACTCACTATCAAACAAAAGTTCCCTTTATAGACTATTGAAGTTATGTTGCCAAAGAAGTCCTTTATGACAGGGGAGTCCAAATCAATGTTCACTGTAAAATCCTCATACCCCAAACAAGAAAACCTTCAAAAGATAAGTTTTAAAAGTAACAAGTGAATCACACATATAATTTATATTTTTAGAGTATCTTTTTCTTTTAAAGTGAACAAAAAAATAGAGTTTCAGACAAATTATTACAATAACTTTTTCTAATTGCTTTCCATCTGTAGAGAGATACAAATAAAGACAGTAAAACTGGCTAATCATTAACTCTGGTTCTACCATTTTCAAGGGGAAAATCAAATGATAAAAAGTAAAAGTTTAAATTTTTTTTTTTTTTTTTTGAGACGGAGTTTCGCTCTTGTTGCCCAGGCTGGAGTGCAATGGCGCGATCTCGGCTCACCGCAACCTCCGCCTCCTGGGTTCAGGCAATTCTCCTGCCTCAGCCTCCCGAGTAGTTGGGATTACAGGCACGCACCACCATGCCCAGCTAATTTTTTGTATTTTTTAGTAGAGACGGGGTTTCACCATGTTGACCAGGATGGTCTCGATCTCTTGACCTCGTGATCCACTCGCCTCGGCCTCCCAAAGTGCTGGGATTACAGGCTTGAGCCACCGCGCCCAGCCCAGAAGAAATCTTGATAAACATTTGAGAAAAGCAAAACCCAACAACAATAAATCCCAGTAAAGACCTTGGTATAACTAGAGCACCCACAGGTCGGCTTCTTTCTTTTGGCTGCACTATGTACCAAAAAAAAAGAAAAAGAAAAAAAAATAAAAAAAAAATCATGCTTAGAGGAAGGGAACCAGCATTTACAAAGCACCTATTATATGTGAAGCCTCTGATATATCTCACTGAATCATCATAACAGTCTGAAAGTTTGAAATCATTATCCTTCAGGTTTGGGCAAATTAAGCAACTTTCCCAAAGAAACTTTGGTAAGTAGAGATAGGCTATAAGCCAGGCCAGTCTGGCTCCAAAGCCTGAGTTGTTTCTGATATACCAGGTTGGCATTATCTTATAGAATAAAGTGGAATTGCAGCTGGGAAAGAAAGAAGCTAAGCTTTAGAATACAGGGTCCTATCAACAGGGAAATGTGCTTGTTATAAGTGGCTTAGAAATAATTATTTCCTAAAGGACTCGTATTCCTAAATTACTTGTCAGTGATATCATACTTTGTTATTTCTCAGGAAACACGGAATTATCTCTGATTTATTCTATCTTTATATCCAGGCTGTCATTTAAAATTTCCCTTTGAAATGTTTTTCAGTTCTGCTGCTTACTGTACATTTTTACTTCTATCACTGTAAGTCTACAAGTCTCTCTGACCTGTTTTTTTCACCTCTAAAGCATCCTTGCCAGGTTACATTTCCTAAAATACTGCCTTCATTACCTCAACTTTCTACAGAAGATCCTATACTGGATCTCTTGGTGTATCTCAGCAGGTATAAATTGTTGCAAGCCTCTTTATAAAGCTCATAAACTGGTTTTTGTTTACCAATGCAATTTTATCTAATTCTCTTTCATACCCACTCTCTACAGGTCAAACTGTTTATTACTTCCTGCATACTTCTACATCTTTGCTTTTGCTGTTATTCCTGACTGAACGCCTCCCCCAAATTCTATTCATTCTTTGTGGTTCATCCTAATCTTGTCTTCTCTAAGAAACTGTTCCCAGTAACCTCAAAACCTGTTATAGTTAGTATTACAATAATGACTTGATTAAACATCATCTTGAAACATCATCTAATTTTTTTATTGTGCTTTAGTTTTGTCTCTTCAACTAGACTATACATTTCTTGAGGCCAGAGTGTGATTATGTCACTATTCTTCTAAAATCCTCCGGTAGCCCCCCATCATTTTAAGATTAAAGCTCAACTGCCTTCCAATGGCTATAACCTGGCTTCAGTCAACCTTTCTAGGCTAAGACTACTCATCTTGTACCCTGTACTAGCTACACTGAACTATTCTCTGTTCCCATATAAATATATGTATATTTCAAATATAAATATTGTACATAGAGAAAAATATATATTTATCAATATTTATTTATTTCTTCACATCTTCGTGCCTGTATTCTTTCTGCTGAGAATGTTTCTTCCTTTTCCCTGCTCGATGCACCCCTATGTATTTATTTGTCCAGACTTGGTTCTAATGTAGTTTTCCCTAAGAAGCTCTAAGAAGCCTCATCCTTGGGGAAAACAGTTGTCCTTCCTCTGTATTTCCATATTCCTTTGTAAATACCTGTATATAGCACACAGGGCATGGTACTATAATTCCTGGTTTAAATTTTTTTCTCCCCTACTATAATGTGGTATCTTACTCTTCTTTGTACTTCTAGATCCTCACAGCAATAGTATATACATATAGCAGGCATTAACATGTTGGTGGGATGAAAAGCAGATCTTCAATAATGAAAAAACTTAGATAATACATTTTAATATACATTTTAAAGTCTTCCTAACCACTCTGTGAGATGAGTATTAATATACCTATTTTACAAATAATGAAACTGACTCAGAGATTAAGTCAACAGCTCCACATCACAAAGCCTGTAAGTGGTATACTAAACACTCCAATCTTGATCTTCTGATTCTAGTTTGCTGCTGTTTGTAGTAGATTAGGCTGCCCTCATCCTAATTAACTAAACCCCTGGGAGTTGCACATTACACTTCTCTTGTGGCTTTTATTATAGATCTATCTTAAATAATATTAATTTGTGTTCTCATCTCAGCTCCTTGTTAGACTAAATTCCATGTTGGCGAAGAAGGATTACTTGCCTTTTTATCTCTTGCTTTGCCTGGCACAGTGCCTTACACATAGTAGGTGCTCATCAAATTGGACTGACCTGGAGAGCACTAGAATGGTCATTTTGACAGGCCAGTTCTTGCTCAACCTCTGAAACCTCCAGCAGATTCCGCTCACTGACCAATCGAGACAGTTCTCCAACCACTGTCACATGCTTTGAAACAGTCCCAGACATTTTCTTGAACTGTGGATAATTCTCAACAAAGGCCTGCCATGGGAAAAACATCAATGGGAGGTTCTGTTATTTTCTGACTGAGAATAAGCATGTATTGAATGGGGGGGGTGGAAAGAGGGGTTATTTTTCAGCCTAGATTAAAGCATCTACAACTCTCAGCCACACGGCGTTTTGTTACACTTAAGAAGAGAAGAACGCTGGGTGTGGTAGCTCAGGCCTATAATTCCAGAGCTTTGGGAAACCCAGGCGGGAGGATCACCTGAGGTCGGGAGTTTGAGACCGGCCTGACCAACGTGGAGAAATCCCATCTCTATTAAAAATACAAAATTGGCTGAGTATGGTGGCACATGCCCTGTAATGCCAGCTACTTGGGAGGCTGAGGAGGAAGAATCACATGAACCTGGGAAGCAGAGGTTGCGGTGTGCCGAGATTGCACCATTGCACTCCAGCCTGGGCAACAAGAGCAAAACTCTGTCCCCACCACCAAAAAAAAAAAAGGAAAAAAAAAAAAAGAAGAGAAGAACTGATATATGGTGGTGGCAGACTAAGTCTTTAAATAGTCCAGATATTACTGAAGAATGGAAAGAATCACATGGCTTTTCATGAAGTTTTCAGGATATTGGTTTACTTTTTTTCTTTCTTTCTTTCTTTTTTTAAAGACGGGGTTTCACCATGTTGGTCAGGCTGGTCATGAACTCCCAACCTCAGGTGATCCACCTGCCTTGGCCTCCAAAGTGCCTAGATTACAGGCATGAGCCACACGCCCGGCCCACTATATTGTTTAATAAAAAGACGTTACAGAAAATAAGTCTCAAACCAAATAAAATCAATCAAGGTAGAAATTAGACCCAGAAGATTCCAGAAGTGTTGCTTACATGAATAGTTCCAAAGTCTCACATGTTAGTCATTCCTGTACATGTTCAATTTACCTTCATGTCTGCTATTGATTCTAGTTTTTGCTGTTCTTTCGGTTTCTTCTTCTGAAAGTCTTCCATGAGATTCTTTATATTGCTACCAATCTCAGCAAAATTCAGGTACATATTCTGTGAAGAGGAAAGTTGGAAGCACAGTTCATCAACTAGTCTGACTTTCAGACAATTTAAAAGAAGTGAAAAAGAATTCTGAACACAGAATTGAAGGGCAGGGAAATTCTATTTTAATTACCAAATTTGGACATTAGCCAGGACACTGGTGATGAATCACTACTATTCTCACAAAGAGCTACTGGAGGGGAGAGAAGTAAATAACTATGTGATCTCCATGAAAAAAATATTGCTAAAGGGTCAGAATCCAAGTCTTCTGCCTTCCCTCAAAAGACAGTTTATCCATAGGAGGTCTCTATCATCCTTTCACATGAAATCCCATGCCTGCCCCCATATTAACAAGCCAATACTTATCTTCTTACATAAAAACAACTAAAGACAATTTTAAAAAAATTTAAACCACCTACATTAGCATAGAACTCATCATTTTCAGCAGATAGGACAACTTCTCTTAAGTCTTTACTGATCCCCGGCACTCTGGAAAGATCAATCCGATTGTTGTTTATGCCTAGCAGTTCATGGACCATGGCCTGATATGTCCACTAAATAAAGAATTATGAAAAAGAAATTGTAACTGACAAAATATGGAAATTGTAAATATTCAGAAAAACCAATAAAAAATTGATAATATTCTTAGTAACTAGTCTTATTTACATGAAGATTCTCTAGTTAAATTTTATTTACACTTTGTGCTATCATAAGCATTAAGACAGTCATTTTAATTGGTTAAACAATGAGGAAAAGTCAAAATACTTTCAGATTTCACACTTTTGGAAGAAGGGCAGCAAGATTAATATTCTTGATAGAAAGAAAACAAATTAGAGCTATCATTAGCTCCAATTTTTGCCTGTGAATTAAGAGTATATTTTTGGCTTCACAGATAGAGCTATATTGGTACTGCAGTTACAAGCTGTACCATTTCCTGTATGCTTCTGTGGTTTTCTGCAGCATGAGAAGTGTGTTTTTGCAGATCTGAGTGGTACTATATTTATCCTGGGAACACTAATATTATCAGAAAAACCTTGTGAGTTGATCAAAACATTGGTATATTTAGAAAATTACCTCTGAATCCATTTTATTTTATATTTTTACCTAATGGGAGTTGTGAGGAAGGATTGGTTTCTAGTCTCACAAAATGTGAATTTACTTGGTAAAACTGGAAATGAGAAATCTCCAAATTTTCCCTTTTCACCATTTATGGAGAATAGATTACTTTCAGTCATAGATTTATTAGACAAAATGAAGTATTTTCTAGCGCATTTCCTTCTGCATCTAAAATCTAAATGCTAGAAACATTTATATACATATTTTATCTTAAGAAAACTAGATGTATTAAGAAATAATTTAGAAAGTTATAAAAGAAGGTGCTTACTTCCTAAAAGATTTCTCAAAGGAATTCTTGAAAAACCAAGTTCTAGTAAGGCACTTAAAATAAGTACAGCAAGGCCAGGTGCGGTGGCTCATGCCTGTAATCTCAGCACTTTGGGAGGCCAAGGCAGGTGGATCACGAGGTCAGGAGTTCAAGACCAGCCTGGCTGACATGGTGAAACCCTGTCTCCACTAAAAACGCAAAAATTAGCTGGGCATGGTGGCATGTGCATGTAATCCCAGCTACTTGGGAGGCTGAGGCAGGAGAACTGCTTGAACCGGGACCTGGGAGGCAGAGGTTGCAGTGAGCTGAGATCACACTACTGCACCTCCAGCCTGGGCTACAGAACGAGACTCTGTAAAAAGGTACAACAAAATGTTTTATGCTTTTATGGATGACTTCTTGTGCATGCTTCTAGCACTTACTCTATAATTAAAATTATGTTTATTTCTCTCATCATTGGACCACGAGCTCTTTGAGGGCAGAAATTGTATCTTTTACCTTTTATCTCTAGTACTTAGTTCAGTACATGGCACAAAACAAGTCCAACTATTTATCCAGTGAAATCTGCTGGATAAATAGTTGCTTTTCTTTGGGAGACAGAATAATAAGCAATTTTCTTTCTACTTTTTGATATGATCAAAAATTTCTTCAGTGAACATATAGTACTTTGAATTTTAGGAATACAGGGCTATTTTATACTACAGAGAAGTTTCATTCCACAGATTTCCCTTAGGATTAACATTAGCATAGGTGGGGAAGTAACTGAAACATAGACTGTGCCTTTCTCTATAAATACAAAGTCACAGCAGGGTGCGGTGGCTCACTACCATCATCCCAGCACTTTGGGAGGCCAAGGTGGGTGGATCACTTAAGGTCAGGAATTCAAGACCAGCATGGCCAATATGGTGAAACCCCATCTGTCCTAAAAATATTTAATACATAAATTAGCAGGTGTGGCAGTGTGTGCCCGTAATACCATCTACTCAGGAGGCTGGGGCACAAGAATTGCTTGAACCTGGGAGGTGGAGGTTGCAGTGAGCTGAGATTGCACCAGCCTGGGTGACAGAGAGAGACTCTGTCCCACTACATAAATAAATACACACATACCTACATACAAAGTCACTATTAATAAAGCACCAGCTATGTGCAAGGCACTGTTCTTATACTTGCAGGAGAAAAACACTGGTGAGACACAGTTTGCCTTGAAAAAATATGTAACTTTAGAGAGGGTGTAAACAACCAAAGCTACAACATGGCAAGTATAGCATGAGACATGAGAGAGACACAAAGGTCTACAGGATTCTCAGGAGATAAGAACATATCTGACTGAAAGAATATAGGCTTCAAGGAGAAGCTGAAGAATGGTGTGATGCTGGAGATGGCTTTTGAGTGTCTCTTTTTTTGAGACATAGTTTTGCTCTTGTTGCCCAGGCTGGAGGGCAGTGGTGTGATCTCAGCTCACTGCAACCTCCACCTAGTAGGTTCAAGTGATTCTCCTGCTTCAGCCTCCTGAGTAGCTGGTATTACAGGCTCCCATCATTATGTCTGGCTAATTTTTTGCATTTTTAGTAGAGACAGGGTTTCATCATGTTGGTGAGGCTGGTCTCAAACTCCTGAGCTCAGGTGATCTACCTTCCTTGGCCTCTCAGAGCACTGGGATTATAGGTGTGAGCCACTGTACCTGGCTTTTAAAAAATTATTTGCTATTATTCATATAAATCATTTTGTTTTATTTATTAATTTATTTATGTACTTATTTATGGAGACGGAGTCTCACTTTGTCACCCAGGCTGGAGTGCGGTGGCATGATATCAGCTTACTGTAACCTTTGCCTCCTGGGTTCAAATGATTCTCCTGCCTCAGCCTCCCAAGTAGCTGGGGACTACAGGTGTGTGCCACCAGACCTGGCTACTTTTTTTTTTTGTATTTTTAGTAGAGACAGGGTTTCACCATGTTGGCCAGGCTGGTCTTGAACTCTTGATCTCAGGTGATCCAGCCACCTTGACCTTCCAAATTGCTGGGATTACAGGCATGAGCCACTGCACCCGGCCAGACTGAGTGGTTTTAAAAGAGTAGTATTTTGATAGATGAAGATGGGAAGAGAAGGTATTCCAATCATTCCGGAGTTTGGAAAGCAGTCACAGTAAAAGCATGCTGGCAGGAAACCATGTGGCATTATTTACGGAAGTGGTGAGCTCCAGGTTTTCTATGAGGTTTAGCCCACATTGTGAAGGCTCTTGGATGGCAAGTTCAGGAGTTTCTTTTTAACATAGTAGGCAAACGGGAACCAAGGAACGTTTTTAAGTAACAAGATAGAGCTGTGCTTTAGAAAAAGTAATTTAATAACATTGTATTTATGGAACAGTTAGAGTGAAAAGAAATAAAAAGTAGGGAATCAAGTAGATAACGATTTCAATATTCTTGTAAGAGATTAGGATTTAGATCAAAGCAATGGCAGTAAGAACGGAAATGAGCAGACAGAAGGAAACACTGGAAAATCGAATCTACAGAATTAAGAAGTTTTCTTGATTGGGGTGGGGGAACTGGCAGCAAGGAACAGGAGGAATGAGGCAGAAGAGTTAATGACGACAGGGGATGAGGCAGAAGAGTTAATGACGACAGGGGATGAGGCAGAAGAGTTAACGACGACAGGGGATGGAAGAATCATGATACCCGAACACCAGGAAATACAAAGCAAAACCAAGAATAGCTAAAAATAAGGAGGCAAATAAATGGATCATGCTGTTTTTTTCTGTATCTGTATTTTGATGAGTATCACTTAAAATCATCCTTCTATCATGCCAAGAAAAGGTTCTGTACCTGGTTTAGCAATGGGGTGATGGCATCATCACAGCGATCTAAAATAAGTAGCAATGGAGGAACCTCTGTCCGACGGAATTCAAACAGTTCGTATTCTTTAGTTATCACTTGCTGTGAGTAAAAGAGAAGTGATTTGCACAACCAATTAGTTACACATAGAGATGATATAAATAGGAAATTAATAAATAAAATCTACACTTAACAATAGTTCTTTGCAACGCATAGATCTTCCATGTAAAGGATTCAAAATATAATACTCACAAAATTTAAGAGTATACTATTTAAGAGATTAGGATTTGAAATCCTGTAAGTGGTTTAACTGCACCAAAAATAGTTAAATAGCCTGTGAATGTTTCTTGCGTTAAACCTAAGAATCTGTCCGGGTGCGGTGGCAGCACTTTGGGAGGCTGAGGTGGGTGAATCACCTGAGGTCGGGAGTTTGAGACCAGCCTGACCAACATGGAGACACCCTGTCTCTACTAAAAATACAAAAAAATTTAGCCGGGCATGGTGGCGCACACCTGTAATCCCAGCTACTCAGGAGGCTGAGGCAGGAGAAGCGAATAAATCTGGGAGGTGGGGGTTGTGGTGAGCCGAGATCTCGCCATTGCACTCCAGCCTGGGCAACAAGAGTGAAACTCCATCTCAAAAAATAAAACAACAACAACAAAAAGACACCTAAGAATCTTAGCTCTAACTGTTGCTTTTTGTTTTAAATCACATATACCTACCTCTTTGCCTGGAAACCTAACGTATAATCATCTCCTTGGTTGTAAATAAAATATTCCTTTAGTTTCTGAAATATGATAAAGAAATGAATGGCCTTTATGTTTTGGAACCAGGAACAGGTAATGCCATACCTTAACGCACTCCGCAAGTCTCTTTGCTGCCTCTGATGAGAGCTGATAACGAATCATGGGACACTTCTTCAGAGATAAAAGGAGAGCTGTAAGCCCTTGAGTTGTTCTTGATAGCTGGGCTGGATCCCAATTTCGACCCTTTTTGTTAAAAACATATATTCAGAGAAAATATTTTAATTTTCTCTTATGAGTCTATTGGCTGAATTAACTCTCAACTGAAAAATTAAACCTTTCCTTCCATACCTGGCAGCAACCCAAAATATTGAGGGAAAATAAATGTGGGTTCACAGCAATGTAATCACCGTAAAATTCCTGCAAATAAAGCACCAAGAATAGTCATTCCATAAACTTCAATTGTATCAAGCAGTAATACTTTCATATGTGATATAATATGATATAGCCAAACTTGGTGAAATACAGGTTTAAAGAGATACAAAACTGTTCAATTAATAGCTGAGTAACAACAGTCAATGTGGAAGAATTAAGATAATTACAAAACAGTAGCAATAATAAATCCAAAAAATAAAAGTTGTAAAAATATACACATTATATTTCTGGAGCCCTCTATGCACACTTATCAATTAGTAAAAATGAAACACTGCTAATATGAGATATAATGTTCTACTCAGATAAGAAAGGACTTTGCTGTCCAATATATTTTCATGAGAGAGAATATAATTTAAAACAGGTCATTCTTTTTATTCATTTATCACCTAGCACATCCTTCTGAAAAATTCAAAACTAGTTTATCTGCTGCCTCTGAAAACAACATTCCTCACTTATGTGATAAACATATTCAAGTGTTCGCAATAAAACGTCTTCTGGGACAGACCTTTCCTTATTTTTTATTTTTAGAGTCAAATATTTGAAAAGGGCCAACATATGAGATGTGTCACAGGACCAATATGTTTACCTGAACCTCAGCCACGACTTCCTGTTCATCAGCTTCAGCCAATGACTTCACATCACTCTTGCTGATCACATTACTGAAATCTGAAACAGACATACGAGTTGGGGTTGACTCAAAGGAGATCATTTCTGCTGCAATTATATGTAAATGGGCCTGCTAGTTAAAGCCTAATGAATAAGTGACCTTCAAATTGGAATGAGTAGCACACATATATTTAAATCCACAAATTCATAACTATATATATATATATATATATATATATATATATACATATATATATACTTTAAAAGGACCACCATCAGAGGCACTGGAGAATGAGAATACCAGGGAACCAGGTCATTTTATTGAAAATAGCAAATAAGGAGAAAGAAGTAAACTTTTATCCTTCTTTTACATATAAACTATACTACCAGGTAACCAAATAGATGTGGGAAAATTTTTCTTTATGAAAATATTCCAGCACAACAACAAACAAATGCTAATGACAATTAGAATATCATTTTTTCTAACCCCTAATGAATCAATTGAATGGACTCATATTGAGCATCAGCCACTGCAAGAACTAGAAGATAGAGTAATATTTTAAACTTCAAGGAACATGTTAAACTATCCCATGGAGATGCAATCAGCAAGATCCAAGCTGTGGAAAACTTAACAATTTGTTTCTTCAATAAATAAATTGCATGGGGCAGCAGGGGCAGGGGTCGGAGGACCTACGGGGAAGGTTAAGAAACTTAACGTATCAACCAACAGCAATGTGTGAACCTTACTTTGATCCCGATTAACAAAAAAACTGAAAAAAAAAAAGTTTTAAATTTGAATGCTGAATGGTTATTTGAAAATAGTACCAAGAGTTCAAGACCAGCCTGGGTAACATCACTTGAACCTGGGAAGCTGAGGTTGCAGTGAGCCGAGATCATGCCACTGCACTCTGTCTGGGTAACAGAGGAGACTCTGTCTCCAAAAAAAAAAAAAAAGAAAGAAAAGAAAAAGGAAATAATAAAGAATTCTTTTTCATTTTTATCTAGATGTAATAATAAAATTGTGGTTTTTAAAAAATGAGTTCTTATTTTTTAGAGATGCATACTGAAATACTTATGGATAAAATTATATGATGTCTTAGATTTGCCTCAAAATCTGGGGGAGTAGGTGACAGTATAGCTAAAATGAGATTGGGTGAGGCTCAATAATTGTTGAAACCAGCTGACAGGTACATTGGGACTTATGATACTATTCTACTTTTGTATGTCTTTAAAAGTTCTGGGACGGGTGTGGTGGCTCACGCCTGTAATCCCAGCACTTTGGGAGGCCAAGGAAGGTGGATCACACTTGAGGACGGGAGTTTGAGATCAGCCTGGACAACATGGTGAAACCTCGTCTCTACTAAATATACAAAAATTAGCCAGGCGTGGTGGTGCCCACCTGTAATCCAAGCTACTTTGGAGGCTGAGGCAGGAGGATCTTTTGAACCCAGTAGATGGAGGTTGCAGTGAGCTGAGATCGTGCCACTGCACTCCAGCCTAAGCAACAGAGCGAGACTCTGTCTCAAATAAATAAATAAATAAAATTAAGAAATAAAAGTTCCATAACAAAGTTTTTTTTTTAAATAGAGGGGCCTGTTACACAAAAGATTTAGTAACATAAAAATATTTTAAGTATAAAAAATAAGATTAACAAGCTAGCTTGTTGATATATATTAGTTGATATATATTAGTGCTGCAAGTTAGTAATGAATAAAATTACTACATACACATTCATTTTAGTTTACATCAATCAAATAAAATTCTGAAATTGATTATGCCACCCAAGAAATCTGAACTCTACTTTTCATAGGCTTTGGTGCCAATTACGTTAATAAATTTTTTTCTTCTGCTTCGTAGATTTACAGTCCAAATCAAACAATCTTTAGAACCAGAAGAGTAAATACTAGATTAACCATTATTAATGTCAACTGCTGTAAGGAATTGTTTAGAGGAAAAAGGAATCTTTTACCTCATGACCCATTCAGTTTTCAGCCAAGAGAGTCAGCAAAAGAGTAATCCTATTATTACATATGTCTATTTGGCAGTACAGGGGAGATGTATATATATATGTGATTTATACATGTATATGTGTATGTATATATACACACACCCACACACAACTATATCAGAGATCTAGCTTGTGATCATACTAAAAATACCAGAATAACTACACACCTATGCAAATGCCTAAAATAAAAAATAGAGACAACATCAAATACTCCCGAAGATGCAAAGAGACTGGTTGGTTCACCCATGCATTGCTAGTGAAAATGTGATATGGTATAGTCACTCAGAAAAACATATGGCAGTTTCTTAATACACAAAACATGCAATTACCATATGACTCAGCAGTTGCACTCCTGGGTTATTTATCCCACAGAACGAAGACTTACATTCACATAAAAATCTGTATACAGGTGTTTATAGCAGCTTCATTTGTAATAGTCAAAACTGAAAACAACTCATGTCCTTCAATGGTGAACAGTTAAACAAACTGTGGTACATTCATATCATGGAATACTACTCAGCAATACAATGAAATGACCTATTTTTAAATTGAAAAAAATTTTTTTGCAGCTCCAGCTCAAAGGAGGAATGAACTCTTAATACACACAACAGGCCAGGTGCGGTGGCTCAGGCATGTGATCCCAGCACTTTGGGAGGCCAAAACGGGGGGAATCACCTGAGGTCAGGAGTTTGAGACCAGTCTGGCCAACCAACATGGTGAAACCCCATCTCTACTAAAAAAAAAAAAAATACAAAAATCAGGGCTGGGCACGGTGGCTCAAGCCTGTAATCCCAGCACTTTGGGAGGCCAAGGCAGGTGGATCACAACGTCAAGAGATCGAGACCATCCTGGTCAACATGGTGAAACCCCGTCTCTACTAAAAATACAAAACATTAGCTGGGCATGGTGGCGCGTGCCTGTAATCCCAGCTACTCAGGAGGCTGAGGCAGGAGAATTGCCTGAACCCAGGAGGCGGAGGCTGCGGTGAGCCGAGATCACGTCATTGCACTCCAGCCTGGGTAACAAGAGCGAAACTCTGTCTCAAAAAAAAAAAAAAAAAAAAAATTAGCCAGGTGTGGTGGTACGAACCTGTAATCCCAGCTAGCCCAGAGGCTGAGGTGGGAGAATGGCTTAAACACAGGAGGTGGAGGCTGCAGTGAGTTAAGATAGTGACACTGTATTCCAGCCTGGGTGACAAAGTGAGACTCCTTCTCAAAACAAAAACAAAATCACACAACAACCTGAATGACTCTCCAGAGAATTGTGCTGAGTGAAAAAAGCCAGTCCCAAAAGCTTATATACTGTATGATTTCATTTATAGAACATTATTTGAATGACAAAAATTATAAAATGGAGAAAATATTAGTGGTTACCAGGGCTAATGAGGGGATTGGGGAGGGAGAGAAGTGCAAATAAGCTAATAAAAGGGAAATATTAGGAAACCTAATAGAGATGAAAATGTTGTGTATCCTGACTGTTTCAGTGTTAACGTCTTGGTTGTGATATTGTACTATGGTCATGTAAGATACTACAGAGCGGGAAGCTGGGTAAAGGGTATCTGGGATCTCCGTATTACTATTATTTTTTACAACTTCACATGAATCTACAATTACTTCAAAATAAAAAATTTAATTTAAAAAAGAAAACAGCCGGGCGCGGTGGCTCAAGCCTGTAATCCCAGCACTTTGGGAGGCCGAGGTGGGTGGATCATGAGGTCAAGAGATCGAGACCATCCTGGTCAACATGGTGAAACACCGTCTCTACTAAAAACATAAAAAATTAGCTGGGCTTGGTGGCGCGTGCCTGTAATCCCAGCTACTCAGGAGGCTGAGGCAGGAGAATTGCCTGAACCCAGGAGGCAGAGGTTGCGGTGAGCCGAGATCATGCCATTGCACTCCAGCCTGGGTAACAAGAGCGAAACTCCGTCTCAAAAAAAAGAAAAGAAAAGAAAAGAAAAAAGAAAAAAGAAAACCTGCAACTATTGGCCAAAAACAAACAGACAAAAACAACAAAAATTAAGATGCCATAGATTAATAAAATTGCCTTTTTTTACTTCTTGGGGCATTGTGCACTGAAAACCCACTGGGCAAGTTTTATGTAACTTTTCAGTCCTACACAGATCTGAATGAAATAAAATATGAGAGAGCTCTTATATATATAATCTTTTTACAAATGTCAATGTTTTGTATCATTATTCCATTTAAGAAGTATACACTTGGCCGGGCGCGGTGGCTCAAGCCTGTAATCCCAGCACTTTGGGAGGCCGAGGCGGGTGGATCACGAGGTCGAGAGATTGAGACCATCTTGGTCAACATGGTGAAACCCCGTCTCTACTAAAAAAAAAAAACACAAAAAATTAGCTGGGCATGGTGGCACATGCCTGTAATCCCAGCTACTCAGGAGGCTGAGGCAGGAGAATTGCCTGAGCCCAGGAGGCGGAGGTTGCGGTGAGCCGAGATCGCGCCATTGCACTCCAGCCTGGGTAACAAGAGCGAAACTCCGTCTCAAAAAAAAAAAAAAAGAAGTATACACTGAAGAAAGTATATATGTCTTAGACTGTAGTCTAAACCTTAAAACTCTAATACCTTTAAGTAAGCTTTAAAACTTCTCAAATGCCCTACTTACTGCTAAGTCTAGTCTTTGGGGTGGAAATGTTACCAAATAGACTACATTAATACTATTAATATAAAGATCAATAATGACATCTAGAGGAAAATAGATGTAACTTCCACAGCCGAATGTATTGAATCAAAAAAAATCCATGTAAATTGCACAGAAAACACAAACCTAGTTTATTTCCAGACCTCCCCTATCCAACCCCCACTCCAAGAAAGTTGTGGACCTAAGAGATCACTACCTGATGATTTATACTTTCAATGCATTAAATATAGTAACAAAGAGAAATGAAATGCTTTTATCTGGTATGTAAAGTAAATCTCTGCTTTTCCAACAAACTCAAGTAAGTATTACCTTCCCACTTTAAAAAATAAATCGGTTTCCATGCCTCAATTCCTAAGTATAAAACAGGGATAAGTATATACTTTTTCCTGGCAGGGATGAGATGTGAAATTTGGCTACTTACAACTTTTGACTTACAAAGCATCTTGAAAGGCAAAGTAAAATGTAAGATTTTAAATTTAAGCAATCAGCCGGGCGCGGTGGCTCACGCCTGTAATCCCAGCACTTTGGGAGGCCGAGGCGAGTGGATCACGAGGTCAAGAGATCGAGACCATCCTGGTCAACATGGTGAAACCCCGTCTCTACTAAAAATACAAAAAAATGAGCTGGGCATGGTGGCGCGTGCCTGTAATCCCAGCTACTCAGGAAGCTGAGGCAGGAGAATTGCCTGAACCCAGGAGGCAGAGGTTGCGGTGAGCCGAGATCGCGCCATTGCACTCCAGCCTGGGTGACAAGAGCAAAACTCCGTCTCAAAAAATAAATAAATAAAATAAATAAATAAATAAATTTAAGCAATCAAAGATAAATGGAAATCACAGTTAGCCCAATGAAACAGAATATTGGTCAAAAGATTTTTTTTTTTGAGGCGGAGCTTTACTCTTGTTGCCCAGGCTGGAGTGCAATGGCGGGATCTCGGCTCACTGCAACTTCCACCTCCCAGTTTCAAGTGATTCTCCTGCCTAAACCTCCCAAGTAGCTGAGATTACAGGCATGCATCACCATGTCCGACTAATTATGCATTTTTAGTAGAGACTAGGGTTTCACTATGTTGGTCAGGCTGGTCTCGAACTCCTGACCTAAGGTGACCCGCCTGCCTCAGCCTCCGAAAGAGCTGGGATTACAGGTGTGAGGCACCGCACCTGTCAGGTCAAAAGATTTTTAATACTTTGGAAGGACATTAAATAAACTAGACTTTAACAGTGACAGATTCAATGAAATTATTGATGATACAAAGGGCTCAATGAAACATACTAACTGGGATGTTGTTATGTGTTTGAAAAAGTGAACTAACAAACTTACAAATGAAATATATACTGTATTTGGGTCTTCGAAGCTCCTGAATCATATAATCCACATTCTCCTAGAAAATAAAGAAGAAGCAAACAAAATATGAGGAGAGTTGCTTAAGGAAGAAAGTAATAAGCATCATCCATGGATTTATTTATTTACTGGGTCTACTGCATATTAAAGTCTAGGTTAAATGTGTATATGTTGGCGGGTAAGGACTGGAGACAAAAGAGATAAATTAATACAATGATCAGGAATTATATTATGTATTATGTAACAGTATGTGTATAATATTAAATTTTAACCAGCTGCATTATTTTAGCCAAATTAAAATGAAGAATATAAAGGACACAGATGTTGAAATACAATATAAAATTAATTCTATTTCTGCAAACTCACATCAAGCTGCTTGTCTATAAATTGTACTCATTTGATCAAAATTCTTTTTTTTTTTTTTTTTTTGAGATGAAGTCTCACTCTGTTGCCCAGGTTGGAGTGCAGTGGCACAATCTCACCTCACTGCAACCTCTGCCTTCTGGGTTCAAGCAATTTTCTTGTCTCGGCCTCCCAAGTAGCTAGGATTAAAGACATGCACCACCATGCCCAGCTAATTTTTTGTATTTTTAATTGAGATGTTTCACCATGTCGGCCAGGTTGGTCTCAAACTCCTGACCTCAAGTGATCCACACACCTTGGCCTCCCAAACTGCTAGGATTACAGGTGTGAGCCACTGTGCCCGGCCTGATCAAAATTCTTATATAGAATATCAAAATGTATCTATTCTTTAAAAAATCAACATTCAAGAGAAAATACAGTTAATTATAGTCACTTTGGCTTTTAATTTATTCAGATCTAAGACTGCACAACCGCAATGCTTGTGAAGTATTTGCAAGTAATAGCCTAAGACCTTTTCCATAATTACATTATTTTAAAATTAAAGTATGAAAGTTAAAAACAAAAAAGTTGATTTTTATATGGTCAAAATGTAAGAATTACAACTACATAAGATTACAATGCAGGTTTTATTGATTTTTGATACATAACACCTGGTTAAATTTCAATATACATTGTCCCCTAAATGTATTTCTTTTAGTAATTTGTTTTTTTGTTTTTTTTTTTTTTTTGAGACGGAGTTTCGCTCTTGTTACCCAGGCTGGAGTGCAATGGCGCGATCTCGGCTCACCGCAACCTCCGCCTCCTGGGTTCAGGCAATTCTCCTGCCTCAGCCTCCTCAGTAGCTGGGATTACAGGCACGCGCCACCATGCCCAGCTAATTTTTTGTGGTTTTAGTAGAGACGGGGTTTCACCATGTTGACTAGGATGGTCTCGATCTCTTGACCTCGTGATCCACCCGCCTCGGCCTCCCAAAGTGCTAGGATTACAGGCTTGAGCCACCGTGCCCGGCCAGTAATTTGTTTTTAAAATCACATTTATTTACAGAATTTTTAAAAATATAAGCAATGTACACTGCTTATTAATGGGAAAAAGGTTTTAAAAACTGTAGATTTTAAAAATGCACTCAAATTAACTTTATAATATAATCTTAAAGCAAAACATTTTAATAAATCTCTTAAACCAAAAATTACTTCTTTGCAATATGGTAGGCAAAAATAACAAAGTGAATTAAAAGATTCCTAAAAGTTCAGAACATGTGGAAAAAGGCAAAAGATAAGAGAATATATAAAATGAAAAAAAGAAAAAGGAAGAATTGTTAAGAGTTTGAGAGACAGTACATAGCAGTGAAAGAGTTTCTCTAATAAAAGTTAGGAAGTAGGCCAGGCACAGTGGCTTGAGCCTGTAATCCCAGTACTTTGGGAGGCTGAGGCGGGTGGATCACGAGGTCGAGAGATCGAGACCATCCTGGTCAACATGGTGAAACCCCGTATCTACTAAAAATACAAAAAAAAAAAAAAATTAGCTGGGCGTGGTGGCGCGTGCCTGTAATCCCAGCTACTCAGGAGACTGAGGCAGGAGAATTGCCTGAACCCAGGAGGCGGAGGTTGCAGTGAGCCGAGATCGCGCCATTGCACTCCAGCCTGGGTAACGAGCCAAACTCCGCCTAAAAAAAAAAAAAAAAAAGTTCAGAAGTAACCAACAAGATGATCTCTAAGATCCCTCTTGAACCAAATTTTCATAACTAAGTGCTACAAATATGAAACAGTTGGAAACTATTATACATAGCATCTATTCATGAATTCAGCAACTATTTATTGAGTGTCCACTGTGTGGTGGGCATTGGGAATACAGGATGAGAAAAAACAGATACCATGTCTGTATTCACGGAGCTTACTGCTGGTAATCACACACACCATGTAAAAGTTCAAACCATGACAAGCAATCGGGAGATAAAGATGGTGTTGTAAGTGCATATAAGAGGCAGGTTTGACCTGGTCAGCAAAACCAGGAAAGCTTTACTTGAGGAAGTGAAGTTCAAGGCAGAGGAAGAAGCCTATGCAAAGGTCCTGCAGGATGACGAAACAAGGGGAAAATTGTGGATTGAAAGATTGAGAGGATAAGGTGCAGAGTTCAAAAGGGAAATGGTTCGAAATGAAGCTTAAGAAATGGCAGAAACTAGGCCAGGCGCGGTGGCTCAAGCCTGTAATCCCAGCACTTTGGGAGGCCGAGGCGGGTGGATCACGAGGTCGAGAGATCGAGACCATCCTGGTCAACATGGTGAAACCCCGTCTCTACTAAAAATACAAAAAATTAGCTGGGCGTGGTGGCGCGTGCCTGTAATCCCAGCTACTCAGGAGGCTGAGGCAGGAGAATTGCCTGAGCCCAGGAGGCGGAGGTTGCGGTGAGCCGAGATCGTGCCATTGCACTCCAGCCTGGGTAACAAGAGCGAAACTCCGTCTCAAAATAAATAAATAAATAAATAAATAAATAAATAAAATAAAAAAAGAAATGGCAGAAACTAGACCATGCTGTACCTTGAAGCCTACAGTTAAGGAGTTTTGCCCTTATCCTAAAAGCAATCAGAGGTCATTCAAGAATTTCAAGCAGGAGTGTCATGATCAAATTTGCATTTCGGAAAGTACGTATGTACAAGCATGATAAAATGCATTAGCGTTGAAGAACATGAATATGAATCAAGAAAGTATAAAAAATAAGATTAAGCCGGGCGCGGTGGCTCAAGCCTGTAATCCCAGCACTTTGGGAGGCCGAGGCGGGTGGATCACGAGGTCGAGAGATCGAGACCATCCTGGTCAACATGGTGAAACCCCGTCTCTACTAAAAATACAAAAAATTAGCTGGGCATGGTGGCGCGTGCCTGTAATCCCAGCTACTCAGGAGACTGAGGCAGGAGAATTGCCTGAACCCAGGAGGCGGAGGTTGCGGTGAGCCGAGATCGCGCCATTGCACTCCAGCCTGAGTAACAAGAGCAAAACTCCGTCTCAAAAAAAAAAAAAAAAGATAAAAATAGGAAAGGATTTTTAAAGGAGAGACTCAAGCTAGATTTAGACGATGATGGACAAAAACTGACAAATGACCAAAGAACTTTTAATTAGTGAAAGAAAAAAAAACAAATAGGGAACAGGAATGAGCAAATAGAATTGCTCATTCCAATGGCAGCCTAGCTGGCTATAGAGGAGGAACAGATCTAGGACACAGGAAAGCTGGATACAAATGTGCAGATCAACTAAAGACGGGCTTTCACTGCTGGCTAAATAAAGATTTAATCATGGAAGTAACATTAAGTCATTACAGGTTCCTGAGCATAAATGTGAATAAAGTGGTAAAGATTCAAGACATTCACAGCTGTATACAGAATGAAGTGTTGATGGTGTTCAATGCGACAGAGACAGAGGTTAACCCAGGAATAAAGTAATGTGGGTCTCTGTTGAGAGTAGCTCATTAGTGGCAATGGGAATAGCTGTGAACCTAAAAGATATCTTGAAGGAAGGACTGGCTGTAAGGGGTCAACTGAAATACGGAAACAAAACGAGAAGAATGAAGGTGATAACACTGATGATCCAGGATAATTATGATGCCACAAATAATGATAAGACAAATTTATTTTGCCTTCTTTGTGTTCTGCATCTGCCTGGGCAGATGGCAGCTCAGTTTATGCAGTACCTTTGTAGGTCGAAGAAAACAAATTGCCTTCAGGTGTTTCATGATCTCTCGATTTTGAGAATCAATGCGTTCAAAGAGGTACACTTCTTTCTGAAGAATCTCCGATTGTGTGTATACCATACTCACTATGCCAGTCTGTAAAAACAAAGAATTAACTAAAAGTATGCTAGTCTAGAATAATAAAAACAAGTGGCATATCTAGCCTCTTTTTTCATTAATACTTAGCTGGATAAATTAAATAGTAATATATGGAATAACATTTACTGAACATCCAAACAGGTAGGTAACATACAAGAATGAAAAATACGCTCTATCCTGTCAGCTAAAGCTTCAAGGTTAAAAACAAAACAAAAAAATCCTCTCTTTGAACAGGAACAATCCATACATTTCCAAAAATAATTTTTTCTATCACCTTAACGAGTTTTGTTTTCTGGTCTGTGGCCCGCAAATAACCTGCCATTTCAGCTTGAGCTCCAACAGCTTTATTTTAAAACACAATGTTGAGTGGCAACAGTGGGCCCATCCCAAAGTCTTCCAAGTGCTCTGACATATTCATGATTTCTTGGCAGAGGCTTTTAGACAAAAAATTCTAATTCCAATAAATTGTTCCGGGTAGAAGTAGTCTCTGGGCAGTTGGCTGGAGCCATTTAGACTGAAAATCCACCGTGCAAGCTTTATACCACTTTTCAGTTCCACACAAACTGACCCTCATGTTCATATCTTTACATTAAATGCTAAATCCTACAGTGGAACGCGACCAGCCTTTGTAAGGTCGAGAGGGTTCCTTCTCGAATGCTGAGCAAAACCAAACTCACCGTCTCTTTATCCATGAGAAGTACTTTCATACCAGGCCCGCTGTCCTCTATCATTTTGGAAACGTACTGCTTCACAGCAAAAACCACGTTCATGGCGGCGAATTGACAGGTGCCCCAGAGCCCTTCCCGCCCCCTTTTCTGGCTAAATTAACCCCCCGGTTTGTTGGCGGGGTCTCAGCTGCTTCCTCCCTGCAGGGCTGCGGCTTCCGGGAGTCCGGACAGCCACGGTGCTGGGAGTTGTAGTTCCGCTGGAGTGTACGGGGGACCGAGCCTACCCAGGAGATGGAAAAATCCGGCTGAGACGCCCTGGGCCGCCGCCACGCGGGGGCGCTATTTTCTTTCTTTCTTTCTTTTTTCTTTTTTTGAGACGGAGTTTCGCTCTTGTTACCCAGGCTGGAGTGCAATGGCGCAATCTCGGCTCACCGCAACCTCCGCCTCCTGGGTTCAGGCAATTCTCCTGCCTCGGCCTCCTGAGTAGCTGGGATTACAGGCACGCGCCACCATGCCCAGCTAGTTTTTTTTTTGTATTTTTAGTAGAGACGGGGTTTCACCATGTTGACCAGGATGGTCTCGATCTCTTGACCTCGTGATCCACCCGCCTCGGCCTCCCAAAGTGCTGGGATTACAGGCTTGAGCCACCGCGCCCGGCCCAGCGGGGGCGCTAGTCTACACCCGCCTGTAGATGCCTGTGGCCGGGACGCTCAGACCCGGACTGGCCTTTGGTCCCGGAGGCCCAGCCGCAGCCCGAAGCCCCGGAGAGTGGAACCTCGCAAAATGAGGAAGCGGGCACAAGGCTTGCTTGGAAGCAGGAACGACGGATCGTGGCCATGGTCACTCTTTGCGATGAACACTTTCTTGCGTGGTAGCGAGAGCTGAGGGCAAGGGAGGTGGCGTAATGCTTCCGGCCACCTGGGACTCCGAGAGGCGGCATCGAATAAACCACGCGCGGTATGTGCGCGGCAGTGGTCGAGATGCGTCGTCCTGGCTTCACTGGGTCATTAATAAGGCGCGAACAGTGCCTCTGTGTTGGGGCCGCAGAGGCCTGAGTTGGTTTTCCCCAGACAGAGGGCATATGACATTGAACAAATATTTGTTGAATGAATGAATAAAGGGAACGCCTTTTAGGGATGTTTTTGGGGAGAGGCCTGAGGTTCCAGCTAGGGTCGGCCTTGGGGGCTCGCAGCCTGCAGGACCACGGGACCTGTGAGCGTCCCTCTGCCCTGCCCCCGACTCAGCACCCTGGGCAATGGAACTCTGCCAGCTCCAACTCGCGCGCTGAAACTGCAGGCAAGAGCCGAGTTGCCTGGGTACTTTATCCCGTAGGGCTAAAACAAACTAGCGTGGGGATTTCAAGCAAAAACTCTCAAGTTTTTATGGAATCTTGAAACCATCAACTTGCAAAGGTCTGCATTTGTGTTTACACCACACAGGTCTCTCCTCTATCACGGCATTTGTCGAAAAAGAGGGTAGATACTAGTTTTTCGCACCTTTACTTTGGGAAATTGTAAAATCAGGAATATAAGAAACAACTGCTAGAAATCAGTAACTATAAATGCTTATGAATAGTTCCACCAAAATAATGACGGTGTTTGTGAGGTCAATAGATTCAGCATTACCAAATAAATTCTTTATATTGTAAGAAGTACTCAATTAAAATAGACCAATAGCACTTTAACATTCATGTGCTTAAGATTATGCAACATTATATACAATTTTCAAATCCCTTAAGGAAGATCGGAAGCCACTGAAATGCAAGAGATTTTTGTCACCTCTGAAACTGTGAAGAATATGTTTGTTTGTTTCAATTTTTCTAACAAGTAAATAAAGCTTCCCTTTAGGCATTTTCTAATTTTTAGATGTGTTTTGAATGAAACGTCTTAAGTTATATATTAAAGTCAAAATGTGACTATTTAAATGGATACAAATAAGAAAAACTAATGGTATACACAAATTTCATTCTTACCAATTTAAATATTCATCTCTTACAGAAAACATGGAAACAATGCTAATGAAAATCCTGTAAATTACTGATATTGGAAAATTCACCGCCAATCTCCCATGTCACTTGGTTTTTATTTTCCTTATCTGTAATGTGGACTGAGTATAGAAAAGTTTTTCCCATGGTCTGCATTCTTTTAAGAAAGACGGAGATAAAGACTTGTCCATGAAATTTGTGCCTTTTTAGACAACAGACTGTAAGCAATAGATGGAAAGAATCTGTATCCTTTTGATGATTTATACTTGCACGCATAACTTTTTGAGGGAGGAAGAAAATGCGTACTTGACAAAGCTTACTAACTCATTTCAACTTCCCATAAAATTCCATTGATGTCAGTGGTAGTGATATTTTATACACTGAGTGATAAGATATGGAACATACGCATTTTGAACAAAATAATTATTACATAGTTAAAGGGTACTGTGGTGGTCCTGAAGTTAGCTTGCTTCCTTCCTGAAGAAAACCACACAAGCCATTTTCAATGTCTCCAAATTAAGAACTTCTTTTGTATCCCCATACCTCTAAAAATAGGACTGAAACCAAGGATGAAGTCCAAACTCTTGCTTTGTGACCCATCCAGTCTAAACCTGGAGTTACTTGTTTTGTTGTAGGCAAGTGACAGCAAATCCAGAAGCTAATATGGAGTGCCTACTTATTTTTAATTTAGGGTATAAATAAACCATAAGAAGACGTATTTTCAATAGTAAAGACATTAAATTAAAAAAATAAATCATAGCCGGGCACGGTGGCTCAAGCCTGTAATCCCAGCACTTTGGGAGGCCGAGGCGGGTGGATCACGAGGTCAAGAGATCGAGACCATCCTGGTCAACATGGTGAAACCCCGTCTCTACTAAAAATACAAAAAATTAGCTGGGCATGGTGGCGTGTGCCTGTAATCCCAGCTACTCAGGAGGCTGAGGCAGGAGAATTGCCTGAGCCCAGGAGGCGGAGGTTGTGGTGAGCCGAGATCGCGCCATTGCACTCCAGCCTGGGTAACAAGAGCGAAACTCCGTCTCAAAAAATAAATAAATAAATAAATAAATCATGACATCCTTCAAATACGAATGATCACATTAACTTAAAATTTTCAACTTGAAAAAAATTTGTTTTCACGGGGTCCAAGAAATCGGTGCTCTAAAGGATAGAAAACAGGAAGTCAAAAAATGCAGTATTGGTCAGGTGGGTGGCTCACTCCTGTAGTCCCAGCACTTTGGAAGGCTGAGGCGAAGCCAATTGTTTGAGTCCAGAAGTTCAAGACCAGCCTAGGCAACATGATGAAACCCTGTCTATACAAAAAAAAAAAAAAAAAATACAAAAAATTAGGGCTGGGCGCTGTGGCTCACGCCTATAATCCCAGCACTTTGGGAGGCCAAGGCGGGTGGATCACGAGGTCGAGAGATCGAGACCATTCTGGTCAACAAGGTGAAACCCCGTCTCTAATAAAAATACAAAAAATTAGCTGGGTATGGTGGCATGTACCTGTAATCCCAGCTACCCAGGAGGCTGAGGCAGGAGAATTGCTTGAACCCAGGAGGCGAACATTGTGGTGAGCCAAGATGGTGCCATTGCACTCCAATCTGGGTAACAACAGCAAAAAACTCCGTCTCAAAAAAAAAAAAAATTAGTTGGGCATGGTGGTCAGTGCCTGTGGTCCCAGCTACTTGGGAGGCTGAGGTTACACTGTGCCACTGCACTGCATTCTGGGTGACAGAGTAAGACTCTGTCTCCAAAAAAAAAAAAAAAGAAAAGAAAAAAGAAAAAAAGAAAAGGAAAAAAAAGCAGTATTTGCATTTGTACATTTTATTTATGCTTATAAATATGTAAGTTAAATAATCAGGAATAATTATCCAAATAATTAAATGTGCTTCAGTTTTCTCCAAAGTGTATACTATTTAGAGGTTTAACTGCCCATTTTGTGTTTAATCAAAATTATGGTCTTCCACCATCAGAACTTAAAGCTTCAATAGAAAACAAATAATATGTAAATAAGCTTCAGTATAATTATAATAACAATATGGCCAACTCTTAGTTATTTTAGATTATTAATTCTATATTTACCATAATCCTTGTTGTTTCATATTAAGACTTCTCTTATAAGCCATGGATAGGAAGGAAGTAAAGATGATATTTAATGAAATTGAAGTTAATTAGATTTCCTACTTGATAACAATTGAAAAAAATTTGCATAAAGTATGACAGTATTGGCCAGGCATGGTGGCTCATGCCTGTAATCCTAGCACTTTGAGAGGCTAAGGCAGGAGGATTGCTTGAGCCCAGGAGTTCCAGACCAATCTGGGCAACATAGCTAAACCTTGTCTCTACACAAAATTTAAAAATTAACCAGGTGTAGTGGGTGCACCTGTGGTCTCAGCTACTCGGGAAGTGTGGTGCTAGGATTGCTTGAGCCCTGGAAATCGAGACTGCAGTGAGCCATGTTCATGCCACTGTGTTCCAGCCTGGGCGAGAGTAAAACCCTGTCTCAAAAAAAAAAAAAAGGAAAAAAGAAAGAATAGCAGGATTGCTTGTGTCATAAAACCAGTATTTGTGCAGAAATTCTTTTTTTTTTTTTTTGAGACGGAGTTTTGCTCTTGTTACCCAGGGTGGAGTGCAATGGCGCGATCTCGGCTCACCGCAACCTCCGCCTCCTGGGTTCAGGCAATTCTCCTGCCTCAGCCTCCTGAGTAGCTGGGATTACAGGCACACGCCACCACGCCCAGCTAATTTTTTGTATTTTTAGTAGAGACGGGGTTTCACCATGTTGACCGGGATGGTCTTGATCTCTTGACCTTGTGATCCACCCGCCTGGGCCTCCCAAAGTGCTGAAATTACAGGCATGAGCCGCTATGCCAGGCCTTGTGCAGAATTCTTAACCTAACTATTTCCTCATCGGATAAATGGTAATAACATAAGCTACCTCATGAATTTGTGAGAATTAAATAAAATAATGTGCAAAAAAGTATTTTACACGGTGGCTGGCACATGGTAAATGCTCAAA